ATGTGCTTGGGGCCGACAAAAGCCAAATCACCTAGAACGGGAGTCGACGGCACTTCGACGAGCGCGACGAGGATTGAGCTGGATTGATTCGACTTTATCGGTGCGGAGGAAGAAGCAGAGTGAGCGGCTTCGCTCTCCGTCTAGTTAGCACTACCTACATCTATCTTGAGCAGCTTTATCCACGATCGCATGTGTTGGTTGATCTCATGCTCTGCTTAATCGCATGAAGGCACGTTTGTGAATCCTTATGCTCCCGGAAATAGCAGTATCCGCTACTAGGATACTCAGCCATTCTACTCTACCGCTGCTGCAATCGGAGAATTGATCCACATCGCTAACGACTTTAGCAACTGATAATTCGGGGACACATGTCACTTTAACATGGTAAAGCGATCACATCCATTGGCTTTGTATTCCTCACACCTGCCACTTTAGTTTTCTACGCTACACAGTTCAACGCGGGCTTACAACGTCTTTCACCCATATACTACTTTTCTCACACGGTTTCAGCTTGATTTTACTTGTCCTTCGACTTGTCGGTGGCGTCCGACTTGGTCTCCTTCGACGCCTTTGACTCCGTCTTGCTCTCCTTCTTGACCGACTTGACGTCAGCAGCGTCCGTAGACACAGTCGCAGACTCCTTCTGACCATTCGCAGTCGCAGACTCTTTTTCGCCACCAGTAGCACCGACACTCGCTGTGGCCGACTCATAACCAAAGTAGCCCGGGTACCCGAAGTAGGAGTAGCCGTAGCCGCCGTAACTTGGGTAGCCGTAGGAAGAGTAGTAGTCCGGGTAGTATCCATTTCCATTGCCATACCCACCATTGTACGACGAAAGTAATCGGGGTACGAACCGTAACAGTTGCCCACACCATATGACGAGGAGTAATCAAGGTAGCAGTCGTTGCCGTGAACGTAAAAAATCCTGTCGATGACATTCTAATCGGGCAAGTCGCCGACATACATCTTATAGCTGTAGCTGTAGCCGCTACCATATCCCTTGTAGTCGTCGCCGCTGTCGAATCCGTAGCCTTTGTGCTTGTAGTCGTTGTGCTTATAATCATCGTGGCCGTAGCTATCGCGGCCACAGTCATCGTGACCATAGTCCATGGCCATAGCCCTGGTGGTCGTGCCCGTGACCATAATCGCCTTTGCCGTAGCTGTAGTCCGAAGACTCGGTAGCCTTGGTGTCCCTTATAATCGGTAGCCTTGGTGTCCTTACCTTCGAGGCGGACGACGGTAGTAGCGCGAGTGGTCCTTCTTGTCGTGGTGGTAGTGTTTCTTGTGGTCGTGGTCGTGCTTGTGCTGGTGGTGGTCGTAGTCCTTGTATGACCCGAGTTGACGACGCGGGTTCATTCTAGTAGCAGCGTCAGTTGCATGCAGAGCTGAAGCAGCGACACACAGGCCCACTATGGCGAAAAATTTGGAAAGCATCTTGTTGGGCAGTTGCAAAACTAGTTGATGGAGCTGGAGGTTGGTTGTCGAGTGTCAGGGAGGAAGCGAGATTACAAGTGAGAGAGCAAGAAGGCTAGTCCGATCGAGCTGCGGTCTGGGCGTTGATGTTGCATCAGCCATCGTGGTCCACCCCTCGTCGTGGCATTGTCTTTCTTCCCTTCGTTGTGATTGATCGAGAAGACGATGAGAGAGAAGCGTTGAGAGAATAAGTCGAGTCAACAATAAGTGATAGACTGCAAACTGTAGTTATGCAGACATCACGGTCTAGGAGAAGTATATTAGACGTATTTTGAGAATGCAAGGATCACGCGAATACTTACACAATCTAATACTTCGAGGTACTATTATTGCAACAAAAAAACAGCAACAGCGGCCACTTGTATCACTTTGTCAGCAATTTTTGGACTACTACTTCAAAACAGTTTCAATTCCTTCAGTAACTTCCACTATTACTACTACTATTACTACTTATACTACTACTACTACTACTACTACTACGACGACGACGACGACGACTACTGCCACCACTACTACTACTACTACGACTACTGCCACTACTACTACTACTACTTAAATAAGGGCAACTTGTCTATGCTCTCTACACCACTGCCGTACACGACTCCACTAGCAGAGCAATGCACAAGGAGAGAAATGGGTGCACGGATGAGTCTTACTTGTTGATGGCACAAGGTTTGTTTTGCAAACTCATGCAGATTGACAGTCGATTGCACGTCCGCGTGCTGTAATTCTTGGTTTCTACTCTATATCGTTAGATTCTACTCTACCGCTGCTGCAATCGGAGCATGGATCCACATCGCTAACGACTTTAGCAACTGATAATTCGGGGACACATGTCACTTTAACATGGTAAAGCGATCACATCCATTGGCTTTGTATTCCTCACACCTGCCACTTTAGTTTTCTACGCTACACAGTTCAACGCGGGCTTACAACGTCTTTCACCCATATACTACTTTTCTCACACGGTTTCAGCTTGATTTTACTTGTCCTTCGACTTGTCGGTGGCGTCCGACTTGGTCTCCTTCGACGCCTTTGACTCCGTCTTGCTCTCCTTCTTGACCGACTTGACGTCGGCAGCGTCCGTAGACACAGTCGCAGACTCCTTCTGACCATTCGCAGTCGCAGACTCTTTTTCGCCACCAGTAGCACCGACACTCGCTGTGGCCGACTCATAACCAAAGTAGCCCGGGTACCCGAAGTAGGAGTAGCCGTAGCCGCCGTAACTTGGGTAGCCGTAGGAAGAGTAGTAGTCCGGGTAGTATCCATTTCCATTGCCATACCCACCATTGTACGACGAAAGTAGTCGGGGTAGTAGCCGTAGCCGTTGCCACCACCATATGACGAGTAGTAATCAGGGTAGTAGTCGTTGCCGTGACCGTAGTAGTCGTTGCCGTGACCGTAGTAGTCGTGGCAGTCGCCAACATAGTTCTTATAGCTGTAGCTGTAGCCGCTACCATAGCCCTTGTAGTCGTCGCCGCTACCGTATCCGTAGCCTTTGCGCTTGTAGTCGCTGTGCTTATAATCATCGTGACCGTAGCTATCGCGGCCACAGTCATCGTGACCATAGTCATCATGACCATAGCCGTGGTGGTCGTGGCTGTGACCATAATCGTCTTTGCCGTAGCTGTAGTCGGAAGACTCGGTAGCCTTGGTGTCCTTATAATCGGTAGCCTTGGTGTCCTTACCTTCCAGGCGACGACGGTAGTAGCGCGAGTGGTCCTTCTTGTCGTGGTGGTGGTGTTTCTTGTGGTCGTGGTCGTGCTTGTGCTGGCTGTGGCCGTAGTCCTTGTAAGACCCGAGTTGACGACGTGGGGGCATTCTATTAGCAGCGTCAGTCGCATGCAGAATAGAAGCAGCGACACACAGGCCCACTATGGCGAGAAATTTGGAGTGCATCTTGTTGGTCAGTTGCGAAACTAGTTGATGGAGCTGGAGGTTGGTTGTCGAGTGTCAGGGAGGAAGCGAGATGACAAGTGAGAGAGCGAGGAGGCTAGTCCGATCGAGCTGCGGTCTGGGCGTTGATGTTGCATCAGCCATCGTGGTCACCCCTCGTCGTGGCATTGTCTTTCTTCGCTCGCTGTGATTGATCGAGAAGACGATGAGAGAGAAGCGTTGAGAGAATGAGTCGAGTCAACAATAAGTGATAGACTGCAAACTGTAGTTATGCAGACATCACGGTCTAGGAGAAGTATATTAGACGTATTTTGAGAATGCAAGATCACACGAATACTTACACAATCTAATACTTCGAGGTACTATTATTGCAAAAAAAACAGCAACAGCGGCCACTTGTATTACTTTGTCAGCAATTTTTGGACTACTACTTCAAAACAACTTCAATTCCTTCAGTGACATCTACTATTACTACTACTACTACTACTACGGCTACTGTCACTACTACTACTACGGCTTCAGTAGATACTACTACTACTACGACTACTACTAGTACCACTACTACTACTACTACTACGGCTACTGCCACTACTACTACTACTCAAAAAAGGGCAGCTTGTCTATAGGCTATCTACACCACTGCCGTACACGATTCCACTAGCAGAGCACTGTATAAGGAGAGGAATGAATGCACTGATGAGTCTTCTTGTTGATGGCACAAGGTTTGTTTTGCAAACTCATGCAGATTGACAGTGATTGCACGTCCGCGTGCTGTAATTCTTGGTTTCTACTCTATATCGTTAGATTCTACTCTACCGCTGCTGCAATCGGAGCATGGATCCACATCGCTAACGACTTTAGCAACTGATAATTCGGGGACACATGTCACTTTAACATGGTAAA